AATTTTTAAAAACCCAACAGGGTTTTTATTTTTTTTTTTTATACTCATAAGCAATTTACTTTAATCCTTAGAGCTTCCTATATATTGCTTTTTATTTAGAATATTAACTATTCCATAAACACGTTTATTTTTAGCTCGCCACGATAAGATTTTATAGAATCTATATTTAAATCAGAAAAAACTTTAACAAGTAAAATTTAACAAGTATTAATTAAGCTATTTAATGGGATTAGTTCGACGTCATAACAGGCGATTTTATTTAAACTAAATATAAGCATAAAAACCCTAAAATAAATAAAAATATTAATTTATACAATTTTTGGACTATATCATATTTAATTTTTTTTAACTAAATGATAATGTCTAGTCTCTGAGGTAAATATTGTTACCTGCTGATTGTGGATATTTATAAATAACCTTGTTCCAGCATATTATAATCTTTAAAGAGGCCGAATCTGATTTAATTGAAGCCTCTGCAAGATCCATAGGAGACCTGTTAGTCTCAGCTAGAGCTCCTATAAGAAATATTATAAATATAGGAATCATAGGCATTACATATCAAGTATGTATTTGATCTTCAATAATTTCAGTTAAATTTAAACTACCTGAAAAAAGTATTACTAATAAAATTGCTGAGCTTAATATTAATTCATAACTAATTAATTGTGCTGTACTACGTAAAGCTCCTAAAAAAGCATATTTTGAATTAGCAGATCCATCAATGTTAACGTAAAAGCTCTTTATCTTTTACTACCATTTTTTACAAAATGGATCAGACTATGTTATAATCTTGTTTATATAAATGTAATATTAATTATATTATTATTTACTATAAAAAATATAAATTAAAAACAAAAAATCACAACAATTGTAATTATTTTATTGTTTAACCAAAACAAGACTTTGGGTTCTCGTGCTAAAATTATTGCCTTTCTTAAAGACTCATTTACTAGTCGTTGTACGTTCATAAAATAAGAGTGTATTCTTAGAATACACTATTGTTTATCATTAACAGCCGTGATATACCAAGAAAAAAAATTATGTATCGCTTCAAATTAACTTTATATAAGTTTTTTTTGAAATTAACCCAATTTATACCTATTATTTACACAATAAGAGGACGTGCTAATTACTTATTCGCTAAATTTAAACAAAATTTATTTTTTGTTATTATAACAAAATTTGTTTAATTGTTTGTAAAAACCTACCCCTAGAAGAGGGGACGTCAAACGACCCTTTACATCTTAAGGGTAGGAGCTGATAATTATTCAGCTACCCAAGCTAAATTTTCAATATAAAAATATTTAAATATTACCAAATCATCTAGTTTATATTTATAATGACTACGGTTTAAAACAGAATATTATATTTAAATATATAAAAATTAAAGCCTGGTTATTATCTGGAGCATAGCAAAGGATATAGGTTTAATTTTTTATTAAAAATTCAACACTAATGTTGAGAAGAAGTAAAAAAAAGAAAAATTTTATATGGTTTGAAGGTATTAAGATGTTTATTTAACGTAGTAAGGTGAATACCTAAAACACGAATAACTTCACGTTTAGTTTTAAAAGGTTGGTTAGGAATTAAAATTAATTTTCCTTGATCATTTATTGTGTAAACTCAAATTTCAGAACGAGTATAACTAGCTAAGTTAGGTTTTTTTAATTCGTCTTTTAATTGAGAATCTAACTCTTTTTTAAATAAATATACTAATAATTTATTTTGTATACTTGCTAATTTAGTATCTAAATGTCTAGTTATAGTACGATAATTTACATTAAAATAATTAGCCGCTTCAAGTAAACTAGTAAAAGGTGAACCATTTATCAATTCTAAAGTTTCAGCATTATACGCTCAAACTTTAATTTTATTACCCAACTGTAAACTATGAAATGCTTTTAAAAGAGTTTCAATTTTTTTTTTATTTAAAGATCTAGAATATAAATAATTACCTTTTACTCCTTCAGGTTTATCTGAATCTAAAAAATAGTCTATAACTGTTCTTCTAATACCTAAGGCTTTAGATGCTTGGGTTTTAGAAGAAAATGGGCTACCGTTTATCAATTCTAAAGTTTCAGCATTATAAGCTCATACCTCTTGAGCTATATTTTTATTAAAATTTAAACCACTTGGTGCACTTTTAGTTAAATTAAATGTTAATTCAAAATCTTTAATAGGTTTAGTAAAATATAATTTATTTCTAAATGGAACATTAGTATCTCTAAACATAGCGAGAGTCCCCCTAGCTATTTTTTCACCATTACTAGCTTCTGTAATACTACTATATTTAACATAAGTTTCATTTATATGTTTATCATTTATATTATAAACGTAGATAGGAATAGACTGACCACTGATATGGTTACCAAGAGTTGTTTTAAGAGAAGCCAATTTATCTGATAAACTTAAATTAATAGCAGACTCAGTAGATGATGATGAAAATACAGAGTTTAGTAAAGGTAAATATTTTTGTAAATAATAATTTTCTTTAGCCCCTTGTTCATCAGGTGAACATTCTTCTAAAATAGAAAAATTAAAATGCTCTCAACCCACTAAACTTAAAAATAAATGCAATTTATTACCAGAATCGGCTTTAAGGTGATTGTATAATCTTCTTTTTAATAGATTAGTTCTACCTATGTAATAAATAGAAGGATCGTGTTTATACTCTATTAGATAAATACAACTTTTTAACCCCCATTTTTTTAAAAATACAGATAAATTTTTTTTATCTAAACATTCAAAACAAGTGTCTAAAATTAATTTTCTATCGAAAGGTATAGTGGGAGCAACCCTATCTTTATATAATTCTTTAATATATAAATTGTGTAAAGATTTAACAGAATCAGATTGACTATAAAAAGCCTTAAATATATTACCACGTAATGATTGCATATTTTTAATCTTTATTTTTACTTTAAAAAAACATAATAAAAAATATATATTTTCTATTTCATTTCTTACTAAACACTGAATATCAAAGGTATTTAGTGTTAAGTCTAATTTAATGAAAGATAAATATAACCATAATGATGCTATTAAATATGCAGAGTAAATAAAATTATTAAATAAATAATTTTTTCTCCATCCAGCCATAAGAATTCCGTAAGTAGCAACAGAAGATACAGCCAATAGATACAAGATTCCTAAACTAAAATCAAGAACAGCTAAACCAGGCCCAAAAGGTATCACTGCGAAACCAAGGAGAGAGAAAACCAAAGTTATTACAGGTCCAAATCAAAAGAATATTAAATTAGCTTGTGTAGGTGAAACATTTTCTTTTAATATTAATTTTAATGCATCAGCGAATGCTTGTAAAGTTCCCCAAACCCCAGTAATATTAGGTCCTAATCTTCTCTGCATACTTCCCATAGCTTTTCTTTCAGCTACCGTAACAAAAGCAACAGCAATTAAAACAGGAAGAATCATAAATAAATCATAAATAATAGAAAATACAGTTGGTGATATATTAATTAAATCATAAATTGAATATATTCATTCAATTATTGAATAAGTTTTATTAATGATTTCATTTAAATATTCAAAGAATATATCTTCTATATATTTATCCACATCTAAATTGTAAGAATCTATATCATTCAGTTCTAATATAGTATATTTATCGTGAAAACGTTGGTTTAGTTTTGACATTTATTTTATTTGTTTTTCTAATATTTTATTTATTTTATTTATAGTATTATTAAATTTTAATCTTATGATAAAGAAAAGAATAAAGGAATTAATAAACCTTAATAAAATAACAAAGCAAAAAAAATTTGGTAAATTTATTTTTATCTCACCGACTATAGCCTTGGCTAATTACCAATTTAATAGTAAACTTTAATAAATTTTTAAATTACTTTGAATAAAAATTAGATTAATAATAATTAGCTACATTATAAATTTTATAATTCAAATTCGTTATTTTAATATTAAATAACAATCATTTAAACCGAAAAAGGCGAACCTCCTAATGGTTCCGTCTCTTTACAAAGCGCGGCCAATTGTTTTTAAAAAATTTAACCAAATAAAAGTTATAATGTTAGAATTATTTAATATTATAGATTTATAATTTGTATTATAATAAGAATTATATCAAAAATTTATTGCTTTCCCATGAAAATTATTTGATAAAGCGCCGCGCGACCCTTAGAGCCGCCGCAGTCATTGCATCCGCGTTAATATTTTAAGCGCCGACTAATCATTTAAAAGAAATTTTTAAAGTGAATAATTAACATATTAAATTTGCTTTATATTTACCGTATGAAATAAGCAAAGAATATTCACCTGAAAATTATATATTCAAAATTAAAACTTTAAATTTAATACTTTTTAAAAAAGGCTGACATTGCTAAGCGCTTCTATAAATATGTTTAATTTAAGGTTTTCCAAAAAAATGGTATCTTTTTGAATATATATTCAAAATATTGCCTTTTAATAAAATAAATAAATTCAAGAATATATTATTTTATAAAATTTATAAAAATAAAATTATTTTACAACTATTATTAACTTCAAATATAAAAATGAAAAATTTATTAAAATGGAAAATATTATTAAAAACATAATCAGTTTAATTCACTTAATATATTATATAAGTTTTATTTCAAATTTAAGCATAATATATAAAAAGGAAAGGGAAACATTCTTTCCTTAAGCCCTATACTCTGCCGCTACAACGCAACAGCACACTTTGTGTACTGCGTGCCACTTAATAAATTATTAGATTATTTTCAACTTATTAAATTTAACTTTATTAATTCAATGAAAATTATATAAACTACAAATTAATTAAATTTTTTTTATAAGATTAAATTTAATAAAAAACTTATCTTGTTTTATTAAAAAGAAATAATATAAAACAAAGGTTAAAATACGTAATAAATTTAAAATTAATTGTAAACATAAAAAGTTTATAAATAAACAAAATTATTTTATTTAGAAATCCGGCCGGCCGCCTGACAGGCTGGATTTCATCGCGCACGCGTGCGCGCCGAAATCCTATTCAAGATTTGAACTTGAATTTAAATATTAGAAGTATTTTGCTTTACCATTAAGCTAATAGGACTAAACACGCGCCTAAATTGCAAAATGAAAAAACACCCTAAAAATTTTTTATTGACCTGCTTTCTCACCCTCCCTCCTCCCTTAAATTTTTAATTACTTTTTTAAAAAGTTATCAACCTTTTCTCCCCCCCCCCCTTTAATAATAAATTTTAAATAATTTGTTATGTTGGAGTGATTCGAACACTCAATTATAAATACCAAAAATTTATGACTTGCCTATTAGTCTACAACATAAATAATAAAATATTTTTCTAATAAATTTTTTCATTTTTTTAATAATTAACTTTTAATAAATAAAAACTAATGAAAAATAATATAATTTAAATTATTAAAAAATTTTTTTTATAAACGGGTTTTTTGATTCTTTCAAAAATTTGTAAACGTTTTTAATATTTAAACCTAAAATAGCACTAATCAAAATTATATTTAAATTTTTTTAATTATACGCACTAAATACATAGTATGTCATACCGTTTAATCTATACGAACTAGAAAGTTTTTTAAATTCAGATTGGCCACCGTTTCGTTGCGATTTACCATCGCGCGCTACATAGTAGTACGCAATTGAATTATTATTAGATTTTTTTTATTTTTAGTGTCGTGCACAATGCGCATTACATTGTATCGGTTCTAAAAAATATTAAGATTTTACGAGTGCTTCATGTATATGAACCTTAAATTTAATATATTCTATTCTGGTTTAATAGATCGGCACTAGCGCGCTAATCATAGAAGCCTTAGTGATACCACATATAAATTATTTTGCTCTTATAATACTATTAAATGTATAATAAATATTTCTATTGTAAATATTCAATCTTTGTAGAAAAGATAAATAAACGTAAAGCGCCCTAATAGAACTCTATATACCTTACCCTTTTATTATTATAAAAATTTATAATTTTATTATAATAAATTTTAAATTATTAAATTAATACTTCCTATATAAAATTACTATATTAATTATTAATTCACCATTCTATATTTATTTTAATATAAAAAATTTTTAATATATAATAAAAAATTAAGCGAGATAAATTATAATGTTATTGTTAATACATAAAATTTTTAACTTAATGAACTAAAAAAATTAAAAATAAATTAGATATCAATTTCAATTCTTATAAACTCCTCCTCCCTTTAATTTATATATTTAGACTTTTTATACAAATTTGTCTTGTATATAAATAAACCCCCCCCCCCTTTTTGTTAGTCGCTTTAAAATATATCAATATCTTAAATTAATAAAATTAATCATCAAATATTAGAATATTTTTATTTTCATCATTTAATTTTCATTATCATCAACATTTCAATCATTATCATTTTTTTTTATCTATCTTTATATTTATTACAATAAAGTGATATTCTAAATTAATTTTATATACTTTAAAAATTTAATAATCAAAACCAAAAATCTAAAATTTGATTTTTAAATTTTTTAATTTTAATAACTTTAATTTATAACATTTATTTATCCTTTATAAATTTTTACATTTTTATAAGTAATTGGTTTAATAATATTTTTATTATTTAGATTTTTTATAAATTTAATCCATTTTTATATTTATTATCTAATATATTCTTTATATATTATACTTTGAGTTTTCGCTCACCAAACCTTATATAAAATTTCTAATTTACTAAATCTAATTTTTTTTAATAATATTATACTTTATTTAATTGATAATCTACCACCCGGGTCCATTATTTCGAGCTTTGGGCGTCATCTAAGATTTCTATATTAAATATTCAGTTTCCACCTTATATATTTCATCACCAGGGCGCTTAGCGCCCCCCCCTCCGTGATAAAAAGGTTTAAGATCTAATAAATTATTAAATCATTGCCTATAGCAAAAAAGAATTTTAAACCTTCTTTTTTATAAATAAACAATGTAACAATTTAATTTTTATTTTATGGGTGGCGAGACTCGAACTCACAAAGTTTTCACCAATAACTCCTAAGGTTACCATGTTTACCAAAATTTCATCACACCCATTAATGATATATTAAATTTTTATGTAATAAGCTTCTAAACATTAAGTTTTTATTCTATTAATTATTCAAAAAATCATTAAAGGCTTTTATTTAAAAACCTATCAGATTTAAATATTAAAAATCATAAAAATTTAATGTATTAAATATAAATAAATTTAAATTTTAAATATTAACGCATTTAATATTTTACTAATATTAAATTATATTCTAGGCTTTGCTTATTGTAATTAATAAATATAAATTTATTGTTTATATTTAATTGTTATAAAATATTGCTCAAGATAAGATTTGAACTTACAGCCTAAACATCTTCAGTGTTCCGCTCCACCAAATTGAGCTTCTTGAGCGTTAATTATTTAAATTAAACAAAGTTAATAACTATCCAAAAAAATAAAATATCAAAATTAGTTAATTTTAATATAGTGCGCGGCTGAACGCGCTCAACGATATAACGTTTTAAATAAAATGCTTCCTTGGACAAAACTAAGACTAATAATTATAATAATAATTTTAATTTATCTAAACCTATATTTACTTTTATAATAGGATAATATAAATTTAACCTCTAAAAATAGAAAAGAAAATACTTTTTATGCAGTCTACGGCACTTTAACGTAAATTTATTAAAACATTCTTTAATTATAGCTTTCTTATATAAAGCAAGATCACCTTATTATAAAAAAAATAATCAAAATATTTAAATTTTTAAATAAAAAAATTTTTTTTTTTATAGTTATTATTAAAATTATATGGAGATATCAGGATTTGAACCTGAAACGTCGATATGCAAAATCAAAGTTTTACCAATTAAACTATATCCCCTTTAGTTTACTTACACTATTGATAATAAAAGTAAAAAATAAAAGTAAAGCGATGTACCGCGCGAAGCGCGGCTACATTGCAAAACACCTCCTACGTAGCCCCTCGCTTTTAATAAATTTAACTATTTATCAACCAAATAATTTAGAATTCTTTATATTTATAGTCTTTAATATAATTTTAAAGATTGGTTAAGTTAATCATTTATATGCTATTTTATCTTTTTCATTTTTAATAATCAATATTTAAAACTTTTTAAAAAGCAAAAATTAATTTAAATATTTAAAAATTATAAATTTTTATTTTTTATTAATAATAATTTAGACGTTTACGATTTAATATAAATTTGATTTTTCTATCTATAAATTTATTACTTATAAATATAATGATATAATTGCTTAAGTCTCTGCTAGCGACGTATCAAATATTATATATTAATTTTTACCTTAAAATAATTATTACATCAAAATATAAAACTTTATATATCGGGATAAAAAATAAAAATATAACATTAAATAAGAAACTAATTAAAAATATTACATAATATTATATAAGCTGTTTTTACAATATAATTTTTATAATACTTCGCTTCCGGGCAATCTTATTGCGCCCTCTTAGTCGAACGCACCATTTTTTTTTAAGATTTATTCCATATCTATAGACGTGGCCCAACCCGATGATATAAATAAAACTTAAATTTATTCAATTTCATTATTACAATAAGTTTTAGAATTATGAATCATGTAAACGCTTCATTTATAAACGACTCACTATAAAAATTAATTTATATTTTTAGTCGATTAAGAAATCCCGTATATAACAACACAATACCATTTAAAAACAGGTGTCGCCTCTATATATTGAACTATTTTCCTACATATTTAATAACTCTCTTAAAAAATTTACAGAAATAATTGGTAAATTCCTAATCTTAAATTTTATATTTCAGTATATATTGAAATTAGAAAACTATTAAATTATTAATATAGTAATCACTAGCCAAATATATCTGATTATTTTTATATTTAAAAATAATCGCTTTATGCTTATTACAATAATAATATTTAAAATTTAAATAAAACTAGTCATGACTCGCGCGCGTAACGCGCTATGATTATATAAACAAAAAAAAATCCTTACCTAAGGAGTGACTTGAACACCCATGAGTTATCTCAGAAAATCTTAAGTTTCCCCTGTCTACCATTTCAGCACTTAGGTTAATGAATATTAAATAGAATATTAATATATAAAACTTAATGCTAATATTTTTATTCTAAAATTATTTTCTTAAAAATAAGCAACCTACCTTCATTATTCTGTTCATTTAGAGCCAAACTAAATGAAATAATTGCTAAATATTATAATATTAATTCTAATTTTTTTGAAAAATAAAATTCAATTATTAAATTATTAAACTATTAATTATTCTAAATTTTAATAAGGCTAGAATGGCTTGAACACTCATCTAAGCTATTATGAGCAGCTTGCTTTACCTATTAAGCTATAGCCTTTAAACAATTAACAGAAAATTAATTTTTTAAATATACCTTTTAATGCGGACAGAGGAATCGAACCTCACCTCTACCGGGCATGAGCCGGTAATGTTCTCCACTACACCAGTCCGCAATTATTAAAAATTTTTTTACGAAATAAAACATAAAATTTTGAACCTTATAATGTTTAGCTCAAGGGGAGCTCGAATCCCCACCCTAGTAGTGAAAGTACTATGTCTTAACCTATTTGACTATTGAGCCTATAGATTTTGTTAAATAGTTAACTAATAATTTTATATTATTTTTATTTGAAAAACATATGAATCATCACGTTATATTAATGCTAATATTATTAAAAATCATTAAATAAAAAAATTAATTTTTTTTTTTAATTAATCTTTAATTTATTATGTAAAAAATACAGAAACTTTAAATTTAGAATATTAAAATTTAATTTATAATTTTAATCTATTTATATTTAAATTATTTAAATTTAATTAATAATAAATTTTAATATTTCACTATTAGATATTATTATTCTTAATTTAGTAGCTAACGGTCTCGCCTCCGGTCCGCATTAGCATTCAACGCGTGTCTACTCGCTAGGAACTATTAACCAAATATAATATTATTAAATAATTTATAAAATATTTATAAATATTTATTAAACTCAGTGTAAGAATCGCACTT